CTGTGATTTCAAAGGGCACTTTGGAGGGCGGCATCGTGGGTCTTTCCGTCTCCTCCGCCCTCAACGTGAGTCAATGAAAGTTTTTGCTTATTCCAGAGCAGGGCTGTTTCTGGGAGCTCTGGGCTGGCTGCAGGATGCTGACCTGCCTCCAGCTCTGATCCCCTCTGGGAGGGGGTTAGCTGGGGTGTCCCATCACCTGGGGAGCTGCCATGGAGCCAGGGGAGCACACATCCTGGTGTGAGATGAACACTTGCTGCCGTGGGGAGGAGCACGTTCCTGCTGTGGATCAGAGATGCTACAGCAAACTTAAGAAGGGCTGGGGAGAGGGAGCTGTGGCTGGAGAATAGAGAATTAGGGGCCAGGCCAAGCATGATCATGCCCAGGCTGAGTACCTGAGCCGAGGTAGAGGTGGTTGTTCCTGGGTGCTGCTGAGCTCTGCGTCCTCTGGGCTCTGCCATGCAGGTAACCCAGACACTGAACTGGCTGGTGCGGACATCTTCAGAGCTGGAGACAAACATTGTGGCTGTGGAGAGGGTGCATGAGTACACAAAGGTGAAGAACGAGGTGAGGAGACCAGGGTCCAGGCAAACTTGGTGCTAGCCAGCATTGCAGGGTGCAACCCCCTAATGCTCCTGTGCCCCCAGGCTCCATGGGTGACAGAAAAGCGTCCTCCCCGTGGCTGGCCCAGCAAAGGCGAGATCCAGTTTGTTGATTACAAAGTTCGTTACCGACCTGAACTGGAGCTGGTTCTTCAGGGGATCACCTGTAATATTGGGAGCACCGAGAAGGTGAGGACCTCTCTGCCTCTGCTCTCACTACACCCTTTCCATAGTGACATGGTGTTAAAGTTGTTTCTGTCCTCTTAGCTTCAGTCTTGGGGCTGGGGAGGAATGGTGATGGGACATGGCTCCTGGGGACTCGAGCTGTGGGGCAGGGACCAAAGGAGGCAGTCTGGGAGATGGTGATCGCAGATGCAGGGCAGGAAGGCCCACCAGACCAAGATGGAGAGTATCTGCCCTGTTTTCTTCAACCCTGTCAGCTGGTATAAATAGGTGCTTCCGCAGGTTGGGGTTGTGGGCCGGACCGGGGCTGGAAAATCCTCCCTCACCAACTGCCTCTTCCGGGTGCTGGAGGCCGCTGGAGGGAAGATCATCATCGACGAGGTGGATATAGCGACGATTGGCCTCCACGACCTGCGCCAGAACCTGACCATCATCCCCCAGGTGAGCTGATCCTCACCTTTCCATGTCCCACTGCTGCATGGCCTCCCTCATCCTTAGTGCACCTCTGGGAGCTGCGGGGAGTCCAAGGGCCTGTGACGATGAGGCCATCGTCACCTCCTCTGCCCAGCTGCGGGCAGGATGTGGCCAAACCCAGGGGCCTGGAGCCATCGCCCCTGCTGAATGGCCGTGGTGTGGCTGAACACCGTACTGTCCCTGGCAGGACCCTGTGCTCTTTACTGGCACCCTGAGGATGAACCTCGACCCCTTTGACCAGTACACAGACGAGGAGGTCTGGAAGGCCCTCGAGCTGGCCCACCTGAAGACATATGTGCAAGACCTTCCTGAGGGGCTGCTGCATCTTGTGAGCGAGGGAGGGGAGAATCTGAGGTGAGCAGGGGAGTGGAGGCATGCCCAGCTCTCCTCCCTTCCCCTGGTCCCAGGGAACAGCCGCCTCCAGCAGAGTGGCTGTCCAGGGACGAGGGCACATAAGCTTCTGGGAGTGAAGGTGGGAGAAAATGGTCCAGGAGTCAGGGCTGTCAGGGACCCAGCATGAGCCAACCCTTCCATGGTGGCCCAGAGAGCAAGATGCTGAGGGATGTGGTGCTCAGGGTGGCAGATGATCAGCTGGGGCAAGGCCAGGGAGGGCTGGGCAGGCATGGTGGTGGGGTCAGGGCAGTGTGTGGCAGTAGGCTGGCATAAGCCATGCTGGTGTCTACCTAGTAACTCATGTTCCCCACCTCATCCCAGTGTTGGGCAGCGGCAGCTCGTGTGCCTGGCCCGGGCCCTTCTCCGCAAAGCCAAGATCCTCATCCTTGACGAAGCAACAGCAGCTGTAGATCTGGAAACTGATCATTTAATCCAGACAACGATCCGGAGTGAGTTTGCTTCCTGCACTGTGCTTACCATTGCCCATCGCCTCCATACCATCATGGACAGCAACAGGTACTGTGGGGCAAGTGGAATGGGGCTCTGGGCTCCTAGGATGGGTCAAGAGGTGGCCAGCAGCAGAAGCAAGGATGCAGCCAGAGGGGCAGGGGTGGATGCAGTGCCTGGGACAGCAATACATAGAGCTTCTAGGAGAGTAGAAAAGAGGGGTGGGAAGGATGGCCAGGCAGTAGTTATTATGCCTTTCTGTGGAGAAACATTTTTTGGGATCCTTCTTTACAGCAATAGGTCATAGAGGAATTGTCAACACCTTATGTGTCACCCCACCAGCACAGGGAGGAGAGCTGTGCCCTCACCTCTGTGCTGAGAGGTGAACACATAATGTGGCTGTAGGAGGACTGGGGGTTGGTGGGACTGTAGCGCTGGTGCCAGCAGCACTACTGCCTCTGATCCCAGGAGCTCAGGCATTCTCTGCTGCCAGGGTGATGGTGCTGCATGCTGGGAGGATTGTGGAGTACGACAGCCCTGAAGAGCTGCTGAAGAAGGAGGGTGTCTTCGCCACGATGGCAAAGGATGCTGGCATCACAAATACAGACACCACCGTGCTGTAGGTGGAGCGGAGCAGCGTGCAGGTGTGTGCGTGGGCAGCTCCCTCCCGCTGGCGCTTGCCACGCGGACACAGTTGTCTCCCTGCAGCTGGGCTGCCCAGGAATTTGTCTCTGCAGCTGGGAAGTGGAGAGGGTGGCTTGTCTGCCTGTCGGGGACAGAGGATCTGGGCTTGAGTTGGCCGTTAACCTTGCTACTGCCCTTGGCCTGCTGTGCACATGAGGGGCTGGAGCTGCATAATTTATTCCAGTATAGAGGGGGAAAATTTATGTCAGGCAGGCAGACCATGGCCCCCTGAGGAGTCTTCATTTTTGTACTTCACCATGCCAGGGAAGCCTAGCTGAGGGATGCTGTAGCACCATGGAATAAAATTTAGTTTACATCCAAGACCGAATGTTGTAATTGATTTAATTTTTGTAACTGTTTCTAGTCTGCCAACTAAAAGTTTGACTTTAAGGCATGCTGAATAAGCCTCAGTTTACTTTAAACCTGGCTGGTGTTGGGGGAAGCTGGTAACACAGGTTATGCAGACACAGGTGGGTGGAGCACACATTGAGTGGCACAGCCATACCCAGGCATGAACACTACTCTCTGGCAGGAGATGGAGAAGCCAGGGCCTGCCCGCCCTACAGCCACAGCTCCCTTTGACTGCAGTGCCCATGAGCGAGGCAGTCCCTGGGGCTATCGTAACCACTAGTGGGGCAGAGTTTGGGCTGCGGCTCCAAGGCTACAAACTTGATTGTGGTGGAGACAAACCGGAGAGATGTGGGCATGTGTGCACACTACACGGGCCTGCACACATCTAACACACAAAACAGTGGTTACTGGTGATAAACTCTTGACCCTTCTTTCTGTGTTCTTGGACATGAGAGCCAGGAGCTGTAGCACTGATAGCGGCTGCTGGTGCTTACCCACTTACAGCAGAGCAAACCCCTTGACCCCAGGTGGTGGCAGGAGGGACACAAGCCACCCACAGCCCCAGCTGAGTCATATAACACACATTGGGGGTGGAGGGAAAGGGCAGTGCAATCACTTCATCTTAATGAGTAACTTTCCTGGGAGGGTTTCCCAGTGCCTGTGCTGCAGCTGGCACAAACACCAAGGCAAAAGCATGCTGGACCCCAAAGGTAAATGTTCTTCCAAGCTCTGCTTGAAGGCTGTGGGCTTGTCCCCCAGCCCTGGGGGCTGGCACTGGCCAGCCACTCTTCCCAGCTCTCCCAACACTTGCACAGGCACCTCCTGTACACAAAGGCAAATCTTTATTTACAGAGCAGCAGTACAGGGGATACAAACATTGCCCCAAGAGAAGGGAGCTTTGCTCCTTTAGGGCATGGCAGCAGCAGGTAAGACACACCACCCCAGCAAAGGGCACCACATCCCTCCCACTGGGGACCTTGCCCTCCCAGAACATCAGCATCATCTCCAGTGTCCTGCAGGAAAGCGCAGGTGAGGCAATCCTGGTCAGATCCCCAAATAAATCAGGCTGGAGGACAGCCTGTGCTTTGCCTTCTGCCCTGCCCCAGCCCAGAGCAGCCAGCTGGGCATGTCAGCAGAAAGATGGGTCTTGGTTACTGGAGATACTGAGCTGACAAGGGAAGATGGTGTTCTGGGGCTCCAGCTCACCTGGAAGGTAAGAACCTGAGCAGAGCCTGGAAAGGCCCAAGCCCCTGGGAGACCCAGCACAGGGATAAAGCACCTGCTGGTGGCTCTGCTGTGGGGGCTTTCAGAGGCTGGGCCCATCCCAGCCCTGAGCTCGACTACTCCCAGCGACCCCTCAGAGCTGCTTTCCCAGGCAGTGTGTAGATGTTCCACCCTGAGGTCCTATACAGATGTGCAAGACCAGGCTCCTGCTGCTGAGAACGCACAGGGAGCATGTTCACAGGGCTGGGGTTGTTTTTAACAGTACTTGGCTAAAGATGAACTCCAGAAACTCAGCATTAGCCTTCCACAAATTATCCCACAGCAGCTTCCCATCTCTGGTCAAGCCTTACCCTCCTGAGCCACAGCCCCAGGCTTTGCTCCCCTGCTCCTGGCTGGACACAGGAGGTTCTAACAGCACTGGGGAACTCGCTCTTCCCTCACACAAACTGCCCATTCCTGTCCTGCCAGCCCACCCGTTCTCCTCCCAGTGGCAGCCAACACGGTGGGGCCCAGGACCGCAGCACAGCTGCAAAGAACATAGCCTGAGGGCGAGCAGTCAGGGCTGCAGGGCTGGCCAGCCTCCCCCGAGGCCCCTGGCAGTCCCTGCAGGAACAAGGCACAGGGTGCAAGCTCCTGCCCACCACCTCACGTGTACTCTGTCTTCCGGATGTAACTGGAGGGCACGTAGCCCTGCTTCCCGTGCGCCTCCGCCAGCCACCATTCCCGATTGCCTGTGATGTCCTCAAACTGCAGGATCCTGAGTCTCTGGTTAGCTGATACACTCAGCTCGTTAGTGTTTCGGCCCTTGAAAGTGTAGAGAGCGTAATAGACCTGCCCGGAAG